AAATGGCAGGAGGATCCACACCATTACAGGTATTTTATTTATGTTTACTAAGCAGCACAGAAGTTGTCTCTTTCAAATCTTTTGAAATGGAAAAGCCTTTCTATCGATGCAGTGTTGGAAGACTTTACTCCTTGTAAATTGAGTGGTGATAATGCTTTTTATACGTGTACAAATAAATCCTAATCAATTTAAAATGAATTCCCTGCTTTTTGTCTTTCAGGTGATGGAGATGCTGCCTGGAAAATAGCCCACGTGAATCTGAAGGTGACAGAGAAGTTCCGTTATTTCTTCCAGGGCATTAGAGGATCATCCGTCTCCTCGGGGGCCATCTTGATCGATGACATCACTCTTACTGAGTCCATTTGCCCCAGTGCTGTCTGGCAGATCCATAAGTTCTCCAACGTTCTCGCCACCACCCCTCTTGGCACCCCGGTGAAAAGCAATTGCTTCTACAACTCGGAGGGCTACTCATTCGGCATCAATGTTTACCCCAGTGGAAAAGACAGTGCCTACCCAGACTATGTTGGCATGACCTTCTTCCTGTGCAGCGGGGAAAATGATGCAGTGATGGAGTGGCCAGCCAAAAACAGACAGGCGACCATCGTTGCTATGGACCAGGACCCTGATGTAAGACTGAGGATGTCTTCTACAAGAAGCTTCACCACAGGTACGCATAGGTCACTGGCATTAAGAAAAAAGAGGGGTTTCTATCAATGGAAGGGTTATTGTAGCTGAATTATTTACAAAAAGTTTGGCTTTTTAAAATATCTGCTTTAGAAATCAATCCATAACACTGTTTTTCTTGACTCTTAGATACTGATCCCCGCTGGAACAAACCAACAGCTACTTCAGGTCAAGAATTTGGCTGGAGCACATTTATTTCCATCCAGCATCTGCAGAGGAGGAGCTTCCTCAAAAACGATGACCTCATCATTACGGCTGACTTCAACGGTGAGAATCTGAAATATCAGCTCCATACTGGACCAACAAATATTCTGCCAGTTAACACATATTTGTAATTAATAACGCGTTAACGCAAAAAAAAATTAACGCCACTAATTATTTTAACGCGATTAACGCATGTGTATTTTTTGTCCTCGGCCGCCCCGTAGTTTCAGAGCGCATCGAGTTTAAAATATCATCTACAAGCTGATGCTGACAGCCTCGCTCCTGCCGCTCGCTTGTGGCAGACCACACTTCCACGCTCACCGGCAGGCCCGGACTGGCCATCGATCGGGAGGACCGGGAGGGTGTGTGTATGTGTGGCGCGAGCGAGGCACACCTTACGTGTTGTTGTTGTTGTTGTTGTTAGCATCTGGTGCTAGCTAGCTGCGCTAACGGATATAAGGAGCTGTTTCAATGAAAACAGAGGAGCGACATTTCGCCGACAACTGCGCCGAGCACTTGACTTTATGCAGGTTGCCAGACAGTGGGACATTGTACGAAAAGTCAGCACAGTCAGCACGGATAGTGCGCGCAACATGATTGCAGCGTCCAGGCAGCTCCCGTTCGAGCATATATGCCTTGAGCTGCACATAGCTCCAACGATCCATCACAGTGTTTCCATATTCATTCACACACACACACACACACACACACACACACACACACACACACACACACACACACACACACACATACACACACACACACACACACACACACACACACACACACACACACACACACACACACACACACACACACACACACACACACACACACACACACACAGTATTGTATGAGAGAGGTTCTAGGTTGAATTGAGGCGAATATTTGTAATGTTCAGAGGTTGTTGTGTTTAATATTCATGAGAATATTTGTCATTGTTCAAATGATAATAAACAAACATATAAAGCATATTTGTCCACTCATATGTTGATAAGAGTATTAAAAACTTGAAAAATATCCCTCTAAGGTACATTTAGAACAGATAACAAATGTGCGATTAATTTGCGATTAATCGCGATTAACTATTTTAATCAGACAGCCCTAATATTTTTATAATTTCTTCTTCAGCTTCCAGGATTCTTTTGACATTGCCATTAAATCCAACTTGTTTCATTAGATTTGACCCACCTGATCAAGACTGAGGTGCCTGTCAAACCGGCCGCACCAAGTAACGAAATTCCAGAGGAGAAGCCAGTCAGCGAGCTGAAAATGAGACCGGAGACCCCGAAACACAGAGAAGCACGCGCTGCCAACCTGTGTGGCCCCAACCACTGCATAAACGGAGGCGTGTGTGTGGAGAGTAAAGGGGAAGCCTCATGCAGGTGTGTGTTTGTTTGGATTTACAGCATGTGCCTATTTGCCAGAGGTGGGGACTCGAGTCACATGACTTGACTCGAGTCAGACTCGAGTCGCATATTTTTTGACTTGAGACTTGCTTGACTAACATTGATAAAAGACTTGACTTGACTTTGACTTGGTATTCATGACTTGAGACTTGACTTAAGCTTGAGACAGATGACTTGAAAGGACTTGACTGTTTACAATTCAATATTTGCGTTTGTTTTTGTATTGAGATATTACATTTAGTTTTTTCGAAAAACGTGATTGGGTGATTATAGCGCCGTGCGCGCAAACCTGGCAACCCACTAGAAGGCAGGAGTGTCAGTTAACATGGCAGCGGCTAGCGTTACTCCACAAATAGTGAAGTTTGGATTCAAGGATTATGTTGTCGATGACGCTAATAAGAAGAGAACAGCGGTATGCAGGGTCTGCAGCATAAAGATCAGTGACACGACCACCACAACATCCAACTTCATTCGTCACTACAAAAAAACCCACAGAGAAAGGTGCGTGAATGTGTTGTGTTAGCTAGAAAGCTAACGTTAAGTTTAAGCTACGTTAGACTTGGTTTCAAATCGATTAAACATTGCAAAGAGAAGACAAAACGGTAAATGAACACTAGAACCTCCAAGGGATTCATTTTGACTAACCCTGATACTGACAGGCTGTCAGGAGAGGGAGAGAGAGAGAGGAAAAGAGATGCCTCGTTTATTTCCCCTGTGTTATCAGAAGTTACTGTAAACTTTGAATAATGTAGTTCATCTACTTTTAGTAGTTTGTTTAAATGTTTTAATTATGTTGTTTTTGTTTGTAGAAGTGCATCATTCCTTGATTTATTGTAAAATGAATCTGAACTTTTTGATCTGTTATGATGATAAACTGAAGCCATTTCAAAATTAACCCAATTAAGTGAGTTTTAAATCGTCCTACTTAGTTTATAAGGAAATTATGAAGAGGAACAAATTAAATGATTTGAAAATTATATCTATGTAGGTGCTGACGCTGTTGGTGGTTCTAGTGTTAACAGAAATTTAAATTAAATATGTGTAATGGCAAATGCCATATATGATTTTCTTACCTGGAATTCTGCCTTTTTGAACAGACTTTTTGATTGAGTCCTAGCTATATTGTCTGCAGTTCTAGGGTTAATATGAATCTAATATGATTGTCATCGGTCTAAATTAGATTTCAAATGATTAACTGTGTATGTAATGAAGATCATAGTGTGGGTTAAATCCATTTTCATAACCACTGTCTTTTAACTGATTTAAATGCGGAAACTGCTTATTCATCAGAATTTCGTATGACTTGACTTGACTTGCTTGACCTGAGCAATGACTTGCTTGACTCTCACCACAGTGATTTAGGACTTGCTTGATACTTGTAGGTCAAGACTTGAGACTTGCTCATGACTTGCACATGTAGGACTTACTCCCACCTCTGCTATTTGCATTGCTTAAAGGTCTCCTATCATGCAAAATGCACGTTTTGATGTCTTTTATACATAAAAATGTGTCCCCGGTGTGTCAGGAGACTCACAAAGTGTCAGAAAACAAAACCCTCTCTCTCTTCCTCCGTACCCAAATCTGTAAAAACGGAGGTACAACTGAGCTGATCCAGATTTCCTGCCGATATGACGTAATATCTGAAATGTGGGCTGGCTTTACACCCTATCAGATATGTCGCTATCAGAAACAATGCCCGACGTGTTTTGGAAGTAATATGGTCTTTGTTTACATTAGCAAGCTCACCTCACCTTGTTGTAAACCCGCAAGATAAAAAGCATTTGAGCTCCATACTGAAATAACCCTTGATGTGGTTTGCAATATGATATGGCGTTTAATCACGGCAGCATTTAGCTGTATCTGGGTAGAATGCCCCTGATCAGATACTCAGCATAAGCTCCCCTCTCTCTCTTTTAAAAAAAAAAAAGCTTTAGACCCAGAATCAGCACTTCTCTAACAGGGCTAAAATAGAGGGATATGATATGGGATATTTGTTTTTGAGCAAAACACTTCATAGACATGTTTTTCATATATTTTTATATATCTGAGACCTATAATATATGCCTAAAAATAGTATAATAGGAGACCTTTAAGATGATAATTTTTGTACATTTTACCTCTAGAGTTATCTCATTTGACGATGCCTATGTAACTCTTGCAAGCCAGATGACACAGCCATCAGAAAAATGCAGTTATTGTGCATCACAAAATCATTTAATGTGCGCTTTTCTCCAGGTGTGCATCTAGCCAGACCACCTACTACACTGGTAAGAGGTGTGAGAAAACAAACATACACAGAGGCATTCTGGGCGCTCTGATTGGTGGCGCAGCAGGGACCGTTGTGCTGACACTGGCCATCTTCACCGTCATCAGGAGAGCTCAGTGACACATCTTCCAGGGGGGTAATATATCCTCTGCATTCACCCAGCAGTGAAATCACAGCAAGCTGGTGACAAGGCTGAAGTGAGAAGTGTTCGTAAAATCTGATAAGCTAATTATTAACACTGAATTATATTTTGTGTACGCTTCTAAATAAATTTTTGTATTTCTTAGAATGAGCCTTGAAATCTCCCGAACTTATCCATTAACTTTGTTTGGTATGATACAAATAATCACATGCAGTCCGCTTGTCCGCAAATTACATTTGTCATGGAAAATGCAAAGCTTGGATTTAAACTTCATTGGGTAATGATAACAATAAAATACATTATATTCCTTGTCTTTATTTCAATACATATTTTTGGATACATACACTGGTTAGACACACAGGTTATAGTTTAAATCAAGTAATGTACATATACAGATTCAAGCAAAATTATCAAACCATGCCAAACTTGTTAAAGGGGCCCTATCATGCTAATTTCCAGGTTCATATGTATAAGTTGTGCCTCTACTGTTCACCCTCTGTCTGAAACCAGAGCCCAGTCTGTTCTGATTGGTTAGCTGGCCAGCTCTGTTGTGATATGTGAAACGCTTAGAAACCCTTAGCCTATCACGTAGCATGTGTTGGAGCGCTAGCCAATGGAAGAGTTATTGTTACTCACTATGTTAAAGAGTTAAACAAAGGAGTCCAATGGCGTTTCAGGCAGAGGGGGTGTATGTCTGGAGGGAACACAGGGATTTTAGCCTTTGTAGACCATTTACATGCGCTAAAACCTATATAACACACTACAGGAAAGGCAAAACCCCTAATAATCATAGGGCTCCTAGAAAACCAAGCGATATCCTATATACAGTCAGCTCAAACTCCATGTACAGAATGCAGAACATCAAGATACACAAGCTTCCTCTTAAAGCTATAGAGTGTAATGTGTCTAACTTCTTTAGCACATAAAAACGAATGGAAATAGACTGTATCAACTTTACCCTTAAAATATAAAATGGCATCAAAATGTATGCATTAGCTATATTCTTATCTTAAATTCTTTCCTGGAGCAGAATATGATTTCATGGATGATAACCATAAGTGTAAGAGCTACAAATAATAATAATGTTCAGTGCTATCAAATGAAATAAAATAAACCTAGTTTTTGAACATTACTCTATAGTTCTATAACTATCTATACACAAAGCAGTATCAGAGGAGCTGCATCCAAGAGTTGCTGTTTCCGTGTCTGCAATCTGAAATGTAGATATGGACAAGTGTTAAGAGTATTCATAGATTTTCACATTCAAAATGTGCCAAACTAAAGCCGATAGAGAACATTTGGTTATTTGATTGAAGTAAAAACTAAAAACAGATAAACATCCAACCACAGGTTTTAATATTCTATTCTATAAGGCAGCAGCCATATATCCCAAGGATGACCTATTTATAATAACGTGAGTGATCCCTTAACTCTCAATATAACGTCATCATCAGATCAAAGAAGTAAGTCTAATACTTTGATTTATGACTTTAAGGAGCGATCTTTTGGTTTGAGTTGTTAACTTAATTACTGCTTTGATAAGTGCAGAAGGTAAGTATTTTTAATATGACAAGTTAGTTCAAATGTAATGCTTTTTGAATGTATGTCAATGAAGATGTAGCAAATGCATGGACACAGGTTAAAATGCAACAACTAATCACGTGATCTAGCACTGACCTCGGTCCTCATTTGTCTCTTGTGTAGTTGGTTGAGGTCAAATTCTTCATGCTCTCACTTTTTCCTTTTGACTTTGCCTGCAGGTAGAAAAAAAAACGGTTATGATGAATGTCAATATTACTTTACTTTTGTCATTCTGGATACTTCATTGGTTAACTTACCATTATGAGCTTTATCATTTCTTCTCGAACCTGTTAGGTTATAAAACAAATAGCTTTAAAATAAATACCGAACAACATAATTGTTGGCAACTTTTGGGCCCCATTAATCAAACCCAGGCTTCCTATGGCCCAGGAAGAATGCTCTACTACAACCACAAGACATTAGGGAGATTACAAAAAATCTATTTATATATTGATGCTGAAAGGGAATGAGAGACAAGTTGGCAAACCTACCTTCTGCTCTGCGAAAACACATGTAATCAAAATGAATATGCCCTGCAAGAAATCAAATTTAGTGAATTTAAAACGTGTGACTTTTTGGCAGACATTCTTGTGGAAATAATATTGTGGTATTGAATAGCACATTTTGTGTGTATTATGAGAGGCTAATGTGACGTGAAGTGGAGGAGTAGGTGAAAAATAATTAATTTTTATCAGATTTGACACATCTCCCTCAAGAAGAAAATAGGCTTTATGCAACTTATTTTTTAACTTCCAAAGTGGAATATCTCAAAACTTTAGACTTCCCAGAGGTAACATTTAGGAAAAAGGGTACACTAGTATCAGGTTGGGAATTGGTATCGTTACCTGATTGGACCTATTGGAAAAAAGTTGGATTGATGCCTCACAAATTTCAACAGTTCGTTTTGTGTGTGAAATGCTTTCAAATTACCTGGAAGGAGTTGAGGATGGTGAAACTGTAAATGGCTATAATATGCAGGGGAGTGTTTTCTTCCAACATGAGCAGAGCAAAGCCAATAATCCATGTCAGTCCAAAGACAGGCGTTAGAAAGACCACCACTTTGAGGATGCTTTTGGCTGTCTCCTTGTCGTCTGCCTTGCTGCCCTCAGGGACATTGGATTTCACTAGAGTAAGAATGACGACCACCATGGAAAACAGATTTGTCAAAATAACAGTTCCCACAGGAAGGAGGAAAGCATGAAGGGAGCCCTCCAAGACACTTTCATAAACTAGCCAGCATGTTTTCTTTTCATAGTAGGGCTTTTCGGTGTATTTGCAATACGTATAGCTTGATCCCACTATGAAGATTGGGAAAACATAGCCAACGATGCCGGAGAAGAACATGAAGACTCTTTTCCTCAGGGGGGTGAAGACGAAGATGAGCTGGTGGACAAGCATGACACTCATGCACATCATCCAGTTGAACATGGCCAAATAAAACAGGTGCTTGCATATTGTCAAAACTAGGCACCAGTTGTCACTGAGACTCTCGGGATTGCTGGAAGCCAAGAAACTACAGTTACCGAGCAAGAGGAACACAGCAATGTTCACTATAGCTGTGTGACGGAAATGTGAAAGGTTGGATTTGACCACAGCCGACCACACTAGATACTCGACGATGAGGAAGATCAGCAGGCAGCAGACGGACACACCCAGGCCGACATTTGTAATCATATCCAGGTCCGGTGTAGATACATCACTCTTGGACATCATGACAGCGAATGAAGTCAGGTGGTTGCAGTCGCAAACTGTGCGATTGCCCGGAATAGTTTTCGCACTGCATCCTGCTTCTGACCATTTGTTCATCTTGGTGCGCCAGAAAACACACATACGTTTGTTGCGACTCGGATTCTCTTGGGGGAACACCAGTCTAATTTCTGATGAACTATTCTTCTCCAGTGTGACCGATACTAAGATGCTGTCAGGCTTCGAATCGTCGATGTTGTTTTTTAATCTACGCATTAGATTTTTCACAGCAACAGTTTTCCCTGTTCCGTTGGTCTTGTTCATATTAACGGCAATGTCAAACACAGTCATATTGCAGTCATCTGAACAGAATTTGAGGTCTAGATTTGGACTGTTCACTCCATTGCTTTGATTGACCTTAATATTCTTCACCAGATCTTCCACAGACTGAAGATATTTTGATGACATATCATGAACAATAGTTGTGTTGACACCAGACCAGGTGTTGTTCAACATATTGCTTGCAGCATGTACAAATTTCTGAAACAGAAGATTAAAAAAGGGACATTTTATCTTGGGATGTCCGGCGTTCACATTGTAACTAATTGATCAGTATAACTTATATATAACTTATCAGTATAAGCTCAAATAAAGCAGTTCAAAACTTTCTATGGCTTCTGATCTACTCGTAATTCTATCGACTAGTGTCAGCGATCAATAAAGCTGATCGAAATCCAATCCCTACTTTACCGTGATATGATTTGTCCACCTCACATTATTTCAGTGCAAAAATGAGCCATATAGGCTTAAAAACCCACATGTATTTCAGTAAGCAAAGAAATAATTATCAACGGGGGCTTACAGGAAAGACACTGTCTTCCAAGACAATGAACTCTGATGCCTTCGACATCAAATTTAGAACCTCGATGGAAGCGATAACGTCGGCCGTAGAGTCATTGGAATCAGTGTCGGTTGTAGAGCTGTTAAAAAGTCCTGAAAAAATCTCCATGGCAACCTCCTGGGTGGCTCCTAGTCCCTTCGCAAAGTTCTAGAAACAAAATTAAACAAGGATCTCAATGAAACGATGTACACACAAATTACTGTAAATCCCCAAAACAATGACATTGTTGCAAAGCACAACAAAATGTCAACATATTTGTTTCAACATTATATAAATGTACTCGTTGAGTGAAAGGAGTTAGAGGATATTTAGAGCTAGCATCATTACAATCTTTTGAAATTAGCTAGCTAGAAACATGAATTTATCTCAGATTCCTACATGTAAAAAATTGGCCTCCATTGCAGTAATCTCTGAAGCAGTCAGTCACTTATTGTCATACTTTTAAAACAATTATTGTAAGGTCCTAGCCAGCATGTTGATGTTTTTGTTATTATTCCTGTTTCTATTTTGTTTCTCTCATTTCAGTGTCAGCATTTCCTGCCCTTAATTGAACTCCACCTGCTTCCCATCCCTAATTAGCCTCACCTGTGCCCCATTATCACCCCTCCCCCTGTCTATTTAGGCCCCATTTACATGGGAACGGAAACGAAAATGAACCGAATTCGATATCAAAAAAGTCTTCCGTTCACAGGCAATCAGCTCAATAAACGTGTCCGTTCACACGAGACCGCTTGACCCGCTGGAGACGCTGTAGTACATATGCCGGGCCTGTAACTGGCGCTGTACTTCCGCCACAAAATACACCAAAAGCAGCGAAGAAGACTTCCCGAGCATGGTTGCCATGGTTGCCCTTCTGTTTATTCTCCGCGGTGGATTTAGCAGCAGAGGTGGGGAGAGGCAGGGCTCTGGCTCTTTTTCTCCCTCCCAGAGGCAAGCGTGTGCTCCTGCTGTAAATCTCTCCGGTAGTCCACCAGCAGATAAAAAACACCCACCTCTCCGCCACTTCCAAGGGACGAGGGAACCGTGTGGCAGAGTTTCTGTTAGAATTTTTTTTCGCCGGTCAACATGTCCGTTAAAGTTGAAATCTTCCGGACAAAATTTGAAAAGTGCCGGTCAAAGGTCTTCTTTGTTATTTATTGAGCTTTAAAACAAATTAATAACGACTCTATATAATAATATACAGTTGTTGTTGGCGAAACACATCAGCAATGACGCGGTGACATGGGGGTGAGCAGGAGAGGTGGGTAGAGGCGGGGCTATGGCGTATAGGGCATAAACACGGAGCCGTTTGACCCCCCAGAGCGTTCCGTCCACAGATCTATCCACCTTGGGACCCGTTATCGTTTGAGGGGTCCGTTTCCGCGGTTCCGTTACGGCCGCGTGTGAACGAACGGGCTATACGAAAGAGAAAAGTAGCAGATACAACCCGTTTTGTTCCTGTGTAAACAGCGCCTGAGTCTGCGGCCAGTTCGTCTTAGTTCATCCTAGCGTTCCAGCAGTGTTTATTCCCAGTAGCCTATCTATTCCACGTGTACCTGACCCAGCTTCGTGTCCTGACTCTGTTCCTTCCTAATCCTCGTCTGTTTTGGTTGCCTTACTGACTGATCTCCCGTGTACCGAACCTCTGCATTTAATCTATAAAGACGTTTTTGCAACCTAAGCCTCTGTCCCTGAGTCGTGCTATTGAGTCCTCTACTGGTGTTCATTCAGTCGTTACAATTATGCATGGTACCTTATGTTAAAAAAGACGCTATTCCTCAAGTTGAAAAACATTCTCCAAATGTGGTTGGCATTTGTATTAGCGGCATTCAAAATGATTTTGATGAAGCCATGCAATTTATGTAAAATGTTATGATATTGTAAGCAGGTAGAACATTATAAAACAATGTTTTTGGAAGATGAAAATACCTTTGTCTCGTCAAATTTTTGTTCCAAAAATGTATAAAAGCCAATATCAACTTACTCGAAAACTTCCCCCGAGTATAAGTAATCTTTTACAGAAAAACATTGGATATAACTTTTAGGGTTCCAGCTGTAAAGCCACACTCACGTCTGCAGCATTTAGAACTTTGTTCAGCTCTGCGTTAACGCAGTTGGAGAACACATCGTCCCATTGACGGCCTCTGCAAGTGCGGGACTTATAGCCCACCCTGCCCTCTGCACATTGATCAATAATCAATGTCTTTCCAGCTGGGGTGTTTGGCCAAAGCACACCAAATCTATCTATCTCTGCCTTGCAAAACGTTGCACCCGCTAGAAGAAAAATATAGGACATCATTAGTTAAAGTAAGAGACATTGCAAATACATGTAAATATAAACAAAATAATACATTATGAACATACATATTATACCATAAAATAGATCTCAAATAACAGATTCAATATGATCAGTTACCATAAATTACTGGAACATCCACTGTCGCAGTTTTGACTTGTTTCTCTGAGTTCGTAAAAGTGACACTGATAGTATGTGGCTCTAGTATTTTCATGCAACTGACAGTTGCATGAAACTTATAAATAAGGTTTCCTCCAACAGCTGTAAAATAAAGAGTAATATTAGTTTCAGGGTTAAGTTTATGGTTTGTGGAAATGAAAGCCTTTTTCAGAACTATTGTGAATGTTAATTGTGTAGATGTAATCAATTACATTAGTGTGTAATGCTAGAACAAACCAGAGGAAAATAGGACAGCTAGTTTTGAGAGATACTGAAGGTTTGCCTTACATGTGTTGACAGCTGGTTCCTTTACTTCCTGGTAGCTCCACAAAACTTTAAAGGGCTCTGTGCTGACTGGGATGGTGGCAGTGGCCGTCACCTTACGGTTTGAATTCACCGAACAGTCCACCGTCAGAGGATCAATCTTCAGGGTGACCACGTCAGGCAGGAGTGCAACACTCAGTTCTGTGCTGGCTGTGTGCCGGACTGACCCTATCTGGAATCCACACTCGTATCTACCTGCAGGGAACAAGTCAACAGCAGACTGAAAATAAACAACTGCTGTCGTGTTTGGGTCAAATCTGACCGATTTACTACTCTCATCAATCATAAATATTGTGCTTTACATTTGATTGCCTCATGGCCTTATGATATCCTCCACAGAAGGTATTTGAACATATAAAATGGCTTATTACCACTTTCATTGAATTTGTATGTGGTTTAGTCAACTTTGTTTCACCTATGATGTTCCTGGTCAAAAATGACCACCATAGGAAATCAATGGGTAACCCCAGATTACGTACATTCATCAGATAGTACACACCCACAAATTGGAATACATTTTCAGTGTCTCTTCTTGCAGTTATTCAGGTAAACCAGTATTCTGAGACATTGATTACAGCTTAAACGGGTGTTTAATAAAATGTTGTGATGATTAAAGGTGTTAGTGTTAATGTAAGAGCAGTTAAAACAATGTGGTGGTCAAATTTGATCGGGAACACCAAAGTAAGGGGGGGGGAACTAACACGACAGGAGGGCTAATAAAAAGTATTAATAGTAGAAGTAGTGTCTCTTCAGAGAACTGTCCTCTGATACTGATACTATTATGTTTGACAAAATTAGATTGTGAGCACATGCAGTAATCTGTAAGTATAGCACTTTACTGTAGTGGCTCAAGGTGGGGCTACATGTACTACACTAAATATAGTTAGCTAGTTTTGGGGTTAGTTATCTTGCCCAAGGACACACCGACAGTTTGACTGCAGGGGCTGGGGATCAAACTATTGACCTTTTGATTGGTTGACAACAGCGCTACCTCCTGAGCCACAGCCAAGGGGAAATGTTCCCTTACATTGACATTTGAAATGGAATGAGAGCCCGAAACCAGATTTTGCATATACATGTATGTAATACTGTGCTTCAAGGACCCTAATCATTTGATACGTTTGCTTAAGTATAGGACTATTATATTAAGAGCCCTACAGCAGTGCCTGGGGACAGAAAACCCCCTTTGACAATTTGTCACAATAGCCCATGTCATATTAATTAATCACAGAACTGGGTTGTCTTTTTAAGCTTCCTGTAAAGAGCTGAAGAACATTGGATCCTTAGTTCTCACGATGTGTTTTATATGGGGAACATAGGATCTGGGAGTAGGATGACCACGCTCTGGCAAATTGTGTTTGTTAGAATAACAGAAGGGAAAGAGGTATAGGTAGCTGTCTCACATTCAAGGCTTGAGATGCCGTGATGGAAAATGACCAGACAATCTGCACATTGATTTGAGGTTCATTTATAATTATCCAGTATAACTTCCAGTCAGAACCAAAAAAGACATGCCCCTTCGGACTATTGTCATGTAGATTCAGCCACATGTTTGAAGAGGACATATTATGCAGATCTTTGGGGTATTTTGTGCTTCTACTGTGACATGTCTCCATGCTTTAAAGATCTCCTAATATACTATTTTTAGGCATATATTATAGGTCTCAGATATATAAAAACATGTCTCTGATGTGTTTTGCTCAAAATACCAAACAGATCACCCATTCTAGCCATGCGTCATACCCCTCTATTTCAGCCCTGTTAGAGAAGTGCTGATTCTGGGTCTGTAGCTTTACAAATAAATAAAGATAAAGATTGAAAACATTTTTTTAAAAGGACGGAGAGCTTTTGCATGCTCATGCAGGATAATTCTACCCCATACAGCTAAATGCTGCCATGATTAAACGCCATATCATGTTCAAATCCACATCAAGGATTATTTCTGAAACAGTATGGAGCTCAAATGCTTTTTCTCTTGTGGGTTTACCAGAAGGTGAGTTCCTTTTTTATATCCTGCTTTTGTACACATACTCTCTCCAGTACAGCATTAGCTCTGAGTGTTAGTGATGCTTGCTAATGTAAACAAAGACCATATTTCATCCAAAACACGTCACGAATTGTTTCTGATAGCGACGTTTCTGATAGGGCCGTTGCTTTTGCATGATAGGAGACCTTTAATGTTCAAAAAGCTCTTTATTTTTCTCATACTGCCTGTGCTGCAGCACCTCTTTTCACCCTCTGTCTGAAACCAGAGCTCAGTCTGCTCTGATTGGTTAGCTGGCCGGCTCTGTTGTGATTGATCAACCTCTTAGAGATGTGTCGGAAATGTCCTGACCCTTAGCATATCACGTACAATGTGTTGGAGCGCTAGCCAAGAGAAGTGCAAGTGTTACATAGTGATGTCATTATGCCAAGGAAGTAAACAAAGGAGTCCAATGCAGGCGTTTCAGACAGTGGGGGAGTGTGTGGGAGAGAAACTCCCAGCTGTGTACTTGCCTGACCAGATGCCTGTCACCTTTTGAAGTGTGAGTTGAGCACACAAACCCGATGTGTTACAGGGAAGAGTAAGATTCACCACAGTGCCGGTGTTGAGCTGAAAGCGTTTGCCATCCTTCCCAAAAAAGTTCCAGCCATTACTGTCCATCTTAATATTTGTCTCCACAAATGTGCAATTCATCACTGGCACAGACTCATAGCACACTTTCCCTGGGGAGTATATCTCGACCATTCCTGTGTGAAGAAGGAAATACAAATACATAGCAATATAGTAGTTATGATTAGGTTGGAAGTATGAGGTACAACCTTACACCTTACCAATTCATAAAATATTCTTTTAAGTTTTAAAAACAGTACAAAAGGACAGTACCAGGGAACATGTAGGGAAATAGGGGACATGTAGCACTACAGTGATCAGTGATAACATGATTTCTGAATAATTGGCATTAATTCAAAGAATCTCTCAAAACTCACTTAATCCCTCTAGCTTTCAAACTCTTATCAACAACCCCCCACCCCCCCACCCTGCCCTCCCAAGTTTACTCCGCACTTGGATTAGGAATATTGTTTATGTTTTGTTTGTATTGTTCTGTTCTGATTTTATGTAAAGCGTCTTTGAGCATTCGGAAAAGCGCTATACAAATCCCATGTATTATTATTATTAAGCCAGAGAATTGTTTTTAAAACTTACTGTAGCTAAATCATCGACAATGCGGCTGTCAGGGAGAGCCGCATTGTCGATGCTTTAGCATAATGTATAATAATATATACAGTATGTGTGGCCTACACAGGGCATATTATCTTTGACACTATTATATTGTGATATATAATATTATCTGTTCCTACAGTGGTGACCCTGTACGATATGTCCCACTCCTGTGCAACTTCACAAAACTGGAGCATGATTCAGCTCAATGCCTTTCCTCCATTTTCAACATCCACGCTTGTAGTACAGGAGCAACCTTTGGTCAAACTTAGCGATGTGATTATAATGCGTTAATTATTTTTTAATCGACTAAGGTTTCTATATTAAACACAAGCATCTTAACATTGACAGCTCTAGTTTACATCAAATAAATGATCAGGTCACGATTTTAATATGGTTTCTTTCTCCAGAAATCATACTCCTTTCCTACGATAAGGTTATTGATTTACAGAGACTTGAGGTAACCATGGTTTTAATTTTCTTACTGAAAAGCAGCCTTCTTGTACCTGCATAAATGTAATTGAATATACAGTATATAAATAGTTGCTGATCCGTCACCCATAGCTTTCTGAAGTGAAGCCATTGCCATGTTGGCCTAACTTCAAACTAATCTAAAATATGTGCCTCTTAGGTGGAGTGTCCAACACCTGTTTTTGTACCATGCTGTAAATATGTTTACAGTATATCCTCTTCAAATGTTGGCCTTTTAACAAGGGGATCTATGGAGATTGACTTGCTTTTGCAGACAGCATCACTTAGCCATTTGAGAAAATTAAAATATACCTCCAAAAGTCAAATAATTATCTAATCATTATAGTATAGTTAAAATAATCAATAAACAGTTGAACAGATATTCATCGATCAAGAGCACACACTTCAAGTAGTTGAGCAATATTGTTTCAGAGTAAACATGATATAAATGAATGACAAAACAAACACTTATATACTGACCTACAGTGTCAACAGAAATGACAGCCTTCAAATTCCTTTGTGCTTCATCCACAACACCTTGAAGTTTTGGAGTCGACATTTCTACGCTGACAGCTGCCTCAAAGTCAGCAACTGCAAAGTCATCTTTGTCAATGGTTTGGGTTCTAAGGTGCGGAAAGAATACAAGGCACATTTCAAAGGTTTAATTGGGGGCGTTTTTCCTTATGAGCTGTGAGGGTCCAAGAACTGAGGGTGCTGTGTGATAGACTGTAGAGATTGTAGAGCTCACTGAGACAAATTTGATATGAGGCTATTTAAATAAAACATTGACTTGATTTGACCTCAATTTATACACGCAAACTTGACTGCAGGAATGATTTTTGACAAAACCATGGATGTATAAAGAGAACTGGATACAGCGTTGGATGCTCAGTGGCGCATAAAGCTCAAAATGGAGCGCCTGTAGATTTCAAAAGGCACCCATGGTGGGCCCATGGAGCATGCTCACTTGAGTTTTCTGTAAGCCCTGCCTCAGATCTCCTGCCCTCTTCTCAGAGTCAAATGAAAGGTGAGGGAAGATAACCCTGGGTTTGGCTTTTAGCGCTTTATACAACTTTTAGATGCTAATGATTCAAATAAGGGCTATAAAAGTGTTCGTACTGGGTAGTTTATTTAGTTAAAATGATCATATGCTGATTAACTTTATTTATCAAATAGTTATCACCGCAATAAACCGTATTTAATTTTGTCTTTATGTACAATATTTAAATTCACATTCTGTTCTTGTTTGTATCATATTCTATTTAAATGTATACAGACTTCTAGCACAATTTTAATTTTAATTATTTTAAAATTGTATTTAATTTATTTATATTTATTTTTAATTTTTAATTGTATTTTAGTATTTTATTATATATGTTGCATCGTTGGAGGAGCTCGGGTCATAAGAATTTCATTGCCATTTCTACACTGTAGCTTATGTTCATATGACAATAACACTTTTGAATTTCAATTGAATTAACAGACGACTCTTTCCCAATGTCAAGTCAATGTGAAAATGTATTTTTGGCCCAGTGCTCTTCCTGGGGGCTTGGACAAAACAGCTAGTGTACCAACTGTACTGCCATTAGCAGTAGCAGTGAGTTAGCTAGGTACTCCTTGACCCTGGATGTATACAAATCATTTGATATTGCATGAAAGGCAGGGACACGTTCATTCCTATTCATTTTGCTCAGTGCGTATGAAGCCAAAATGGCCTGACTCGTATAAAGATACCGGTGTCTGGGCTCATAGAATGTGCGTTTTCCTGCAGGGTCATGACTGGTCTCGGCTCAGTTAAACGAATGGAGAGCGAAATTACTCTGGATTCAGTTTTTAGGCTGTTTTACATCTTTTAGCACCTAATAGTTTAAATAAGGACTTTTCTAATGTTCGTACTGGTTAGTTGATTTAGCAAAAATAAATAGGCTGATTTCAACTTTGGTAAGGTAAAAGGTAACACACATTAATACAAAATCATTTTCCTTCATTTCATAAAAAGTAAAAGACACTTAAAGTATTTGCAAAGTAAAATACCTTTGACCAGTTACATTCAGGAACTCAAAGCCATTCAGCACCTTAAATGCATCTGTAAGCTTTAAAAAGAAAGAACATTATATTATTTATATTTTAATGATGTATTACAGTGACAAACATTTTGATGAATGTATACATTTGTGATAAGAGCGAGATATACCTGACAAGTTTTTACCTGAGTTTCTTTATTGCTCCCCCATGTTTCGGCAGTATTCAATGTCACTGATCCTTTGATGCGAACTGTGAGAATTGCAAGAAGGAACATTTTGTGATATCAACATGCACATTTGTCCATATGGAAAACAAATGAAAGAGCATTAACACAATCTAGAAACACACTAGTGTGAAAGAACACTCTACAGAGACCCTTATTCCATTAAGTCAGTTTGTCAACAGCACTCTCTTACCATTGACTTTGGCGATGCAGAGTGGCGTGCTGTCGGACACGTTCTGAGCGCAAGTCGTTTCCCTACAACAGTTGTAGTTGTAGCACACTGGGTTGCTCCATACGTACCCGGTGGAGCAGTTGCAAGAGGTATCATCTCCAATAAGCAGGCACTCTAAAAAGAAAAGCCCAACTTCAAATCATTTAAGTCCTAGAAAGTATTTCTATAAAAGAAAACATCTCATCTGTGTTATCTCTTAGTAAAAGACATCCTGAGAGACAATACATTGGTGAAAGAAAATGTGGCCTCATCAATGTATATCATATTATAGAAGTGCATTTGAAGATGATATCTATTGTTTTTTTCTAAATAATAAATGCAAAACCGTTTTGATCAGGATTAAAGATCAAAACATGTGTCAGCGCCACCTCCTGACCAATCAGATGAAGAATGCATCTGATGTTCATTTTGGTATTTAGTTACTGTCTTATATTCAGCTGAATGGCTGCATGGTATTTCTTGCACTTTGCTCCACTTTTGCAACGTTTGCCTCACTGAACCAACACTTTTTACAGAGAGGTAATCCATCATTTTATATCAACCTAATTTTACAAAATTAAAGGGCATGCTCATCAATACCAGTTTTATAATGGCAGGTTACTGGCTTTTCAAAACCCTAACAGTTAGAATCCATTTCCCAGTCATTGATTTGTTTCACTTTTTCACACTCATTGCCAAATCGTCCAATTGCACTGACAATGTTTCAATTTGGACACCATTTGTTTTTTTCTCCTTCACTGCCTTCAGATGTGTATAAGATAAGATAAAATATACTTGGGAAATGTTTTGGTCACAGCAGCATGTAAACAAGGCATTGCGCACAATGTGAACATGAAAAAGGAGTACTGAATAAACAGACATAAACATAAACATCTCAAAATAGAAAATAAAAACAGAACTTCAAAGTAAAAATATATACATAATGAAGATGTGCATTTTAGCACAAATATAGCAGACATGGAGCAACATTAACAAATCATTTGAAAATGGTGTTTCTGGCCACAAAACACATTTTAGTTTGAATATACAAATCTGTCTTAATCTGTTTGAAAGGAAAACATCCAAAATACATATTTAAGTGTTTATTTTACTAACTTGATCTATTTACTTATGTAGATTTCTCCTAAATTCACCTTGAGTAAGCACTTGTAAATATATGTATATATATAAACAGTAAATGTAAGGAAGAATAATTGTTTTAGTGAAGTTGTCAACTGTGTCTTTCTATTTTGTCTTTTTATTGAAATGTCCCATTCACTGTCTTAAAGAAGAACCATTTGGAATAATAATGAAAGAAAGAGGAAAGAGCTTCATACCTGCCACCACTTCACTTCTTATGAGGATCACTTTTTGTGCATTCACTTCCACGTCTGTATAATTCAAAGCCAGCAGGATGCTGTTGGCCTCCAGTGTGACATTACTTCCCACCGTCAGCTCAGCAGTGAAGACATCTTCTAGAGCAACATGCAATATTTTAATAAGCTGCAGATTTATTACGGTGGACAACAGGTGCAAACGCGCTGCACTTTCAAAACAGTGCAAATACAAAAACATAAATGTGCCAAAACACATGCAAATGAAGAAACGTCTTCACCAACTTGACAACACATGCGCAGCGTTTACTTAAAGCGCTGCATAAATGAAACGCATAATGCAAATATAACACGCTACAACAACAACAAAAAACGCTGCGAGAGGCTCAAAACACAGAAAGTGATGCGCACTGCTGGGAGCGAAGCACTTGTTGATGTGCTTGAGGATTAGAAAGTTGGCCAACTGTCACTGGAAATGTACCTCAAATGTAAGTTTTATTGGCTTATTTTAATAATATTATCATATGATTCCTTCAGATATTATTGCAGATCTGCTGTTAGCTAGCTAGCTAACGTAACTATAGTCATTTCAAATACAGTATACTGACAAAAAACACACAATTACGAAACAGACTAACTCTGCCTGACATTTGGCCAACTTTATAATCCCCCAATGAAAACAAGCGCTCCGGTCCCAGCTGTGTGCAAAAAAACACATTTTATAACTTGTATACCCTAATAATTTAAATAACGGCTATAAAAGGGTTCGTATTGGGTAGTATATATAACTTAAACAAGTGTACGCTGTTTTATAGGCGTATCTTTCCGAATGTATGTCAATGGGAAGAAGTATTTGCTTCAACGGCTGCCCCACTTCCTCAGGGCTTAGTTAGCAAACCTACCAATCAAAAAATACTATTTGGCCTCAGCCCAGTTCTTTAATCCTGGCCCAATATGTTTACGTTTATCGAGGTATTTTACTGAATCTCCTTTATGGCAGGTTATTATGTAGATAAGAAACTCACCTGCTACGATGACCTGCAATGGAAAAAAGGGCGAAAACAGAATTAGTCTTTTTGTCAAAATAATTATAAAACTGTCTAATTTTTACATGCTAAATAACACAGATTTATATTCAAAGTTGATTTTTGTTATTGGAAGTGTTTGTCATTTATACATGCAGCACTCTTCGCTATTGATATCAAAATCAGTTAAAATATAATAAATATTAAATTAAACTACAAAACGAACTTAGTCAGCAGCTTCAGGTTCCTCGGTGTCCACATCACTGAGGACCTGACATGGACTCATCACACTAACACCATCACAAAGAAAGCTTGACAGCGGCTCTTCTTCCTCCGCAGGCTGAGGAGGTTCAACATGGACTCCAGGATACTCTGCAACTTCTACAGGTGCACCATATAGAGGATCCTGACCTTCTACAGGTGCACCATAGAGAGGATCCTGACCTTCTACAGGTGCACCATAGAGAGGATCCTGACCTTCTACAGGCGCACCATAGAGAGCATCCTGACCTTCTACAGGTGCACCATAGAGAGCATCCTGACCTTCTACAGGTGCACCATAGAGAGGATCCTGACCTTCTACAGGTGCACCATAGAGAGGATCCTGACCTTCTACAGGTGCACCATAGAGAGCATCCTGACCTTCTACAGGTGCACCATAGAGAGCATCCTGACCTTCTACAGGTGCACCATAGAGAGCATCCTGACCTTCTACAGGTGCACCATAGAGAGGATCCTGACCTTCTACAGGTGCACCATAGAGAGGATCCTGACCTTCTACAGGTGCACCATAGAGAGCATCCTGACCTTCTACAGGTGCACCATAGAGAGCATCCTGACCTTCTACAGGTGCACCATAGAGAGGATCCTGACCTTCTACAGGTGCACCATAGAGAGCATCCTGACCTTCTACAGGTGCACCATAGAGAGGATCCTGACCTTCTACAGGTGCACCATAGAGAGGATCCTGACCTTCTACAGGTGCACCATAGAGAGCATCCTGACCTCCTACAGGTGCACCATAGAGAGCATCCTGACCTTCTACAGGTGCACCATAGAGAGCATCCTGACCTCCTACAGGTGCACCATAGAGAGCATCCTGACTGGCTGCATCACGGCCTGGTACGCCAGCTGCACCGCCCTCAACCGTAAGGCTTTACAGAGGGTGGTGAAAACTGCACAGACCATCACCAGGACGGAGCTGCCATCCATGGAGGACCTTTACTCCCAGCGGCTCGGGAAGAAAGCCAACCGGATTGTTGTAATATGTCTTGTATATATCTATAATGCACTGTTGAGGAACCTGTGACCCAGCTCAACTACACTTAGTTGTGTAAATGACATTAAACCTTTGAAATCTTAGTTTGAGTGCTGGCCAGAAAATGTATATCATATTAAAATACGATGCATTTGTACCTGAGCGTAGAGGTACACAGCTCCAATCAGAAAAAGATAAGCCCTGGAACACATTGTCCCTCTGGTGTAGAAAAAAAGACAAGTATAACGACATTAGCAGCAATTAAAGAAAGTTAAAATGTATTAACAAATGTACATACACATACAGGAACAACACAAACATATTCATTAAAGTCAACAAATATTTTATGTAGCACAAAACTCTCTCTCTTATTCCTGATTTTCCTTACGGGGAACAATAAAGGTTTATCTTATCTTTATTATCAGAATGATCACTGATTATTAATGAGTTTGAACTGTTGTAACAAATTGTACATCCACAAGTCTTTAATAAGGGCCTGTGTATGATCTTTTTTCTAAACATTGTACCATAGACATCAAACAAAGCTTTTCATGTTCCCCTGAGGATGATTCCTTTTCTTTTTGGTGACGCACTAAGTTTTTTCTCAAATGCCTTCTCCAGGCAAAAACATATTTAATGCCAAAACAACGTTTACATTTGGACATCCATTAGTTTCTACCCTCAGAATGTAAGACGTACAGAATAGCTCTTTTTGGATCTTCGACAACTTCAAGGAAAACATGTGGCTCTTTAACTATAGAGCTAAATTCTAATCTATGCTAATCCGCTAGCGGTGGAACGAAAACAAAATGCACATTTAGGTGATTAGTTTACTCATTTTATATATTTGTGTCTGTAGATTTATCAAAGATTCAAATAGTTTGCATTGGACAATGCATTATTAACACATTCAAACTGAAAATTACAGAAAACTTGTCATTCAGAACAAATATTTTAATGTAAGTAATCAACTTGGGAAGTCCAACAATTTATAAAATCTAACAATATGGGCTGTTTAATTATTACAAGTATTTTTGTCCACATAGTGAGAAATCCCTACACTGACAGAACACACACCAATCTTTCAATTTTTCATTCCAATCTATATTCTGAAGGTTTTTAATGAGGGGTGTGTTCATATATAATTCAGCCTGATTGATGTATTTGTGTCGTAAAAATAGGGCAAAAATGCATTTGCTTTTTTTTAAATGACCTGTCGACTGTATGTTTTTATTTATTTATGGAGTGATTAAAAGAGATGTTAAAAGTTCCCTACGTAAAACACTTTTTATTTTAACCCGGCTATATCCAATTTTCCAATTTCTTTTCAGAATATGTATGCACATTTAGTTAGAAGGTGCCTAATTTGCATATTTAAAACATACAATTTCAGGAACATTGGAGTAAAAGAACAATTGCCATCCTTAAAGTTATGATCTTGTGAAATAAATACAATGACTAAAAGGGCCTGGAAAAAGCAATACAGATCAAGTCATTCTCCAGCAATCTAAATATATACACAATATATTACATGACACTTATTCACTTTTCTGTCAGGAGCAGTTGGGGTGAAGTGCCTTGCCCAGGGACACAACGACATGCTGACTGCAGTGGGGATTGAACCAGTGCTCCCCTGATCCAAAGATATGCGCACTAATCCACTGTGCCACAGTTTCAAAATTACACAATGTAAGCCGTTCCTTTAAATTTAAATGAACATTTCTGACATATTGGTGTATAATCTGATCATTAACATGTTTGTATTAAAACTTGCTTGTCACTCTTATCATCAGCCATCAGTTTTTTGGCTTGCGTTTCAGCTTCTCAGGCTTGTTTGCATGACTTTGAATATGGACTATGAATGCAAACAATGAGTCGATGGTTTTGCCTGCTTCCTGTAACAGTGCACTGCCATCTGACATCAGAGGCTGGAGGTCACCTGTGTGGTCGGGGGCCTGTTAATGCGGTACAGGTGATGGCCACCTCATTTTCATGTTGGGTTAGGATATGGCTGCCTTTTAGCCATTATTACACCCTGGTTATATAACTGCGGACCATATATATACAATTATAAACTGAAAAGTTGACTTGAAGTTGATTAACTGTATTATGTCAACAGATTTCACATAACTGTATTAGGTCAGTTAAAAACAATAATATTACATTTAAATAAAAAATATTAGGTCCAACTTAATATTATTGGTTCAACTAACCTAATACAGTTTTGTGAAATTTCATTCATTAGTCAACGTTTCAGTTTTTTCAGTGTACACTTGCACAATGGCATGTGCAAATATGAGTGGGACCAGAACTATAAATGCATCTATAAAAAACTATTTTGGTAAATGGAGGTTACTTAAGGTATCTTTTTAAATTGTCACACACACAGCTCCACACACAGTGACATTTAGACTGTGCATTTAACCCATCTTATTAGGAGCAGTGGGTAGCTATGGAACAGGAACACATTAATGTTCTTACCATTATAAGTATTAAACATGTGGTCATAATAATGGAAACTAATACTTTGGTATCTTACAATGTCAATTCTTGTAAGCGTGAAATATGTTAAGGGAGGCAAAGATCCCAAAAGTAGCATTCCAATCTTTTATATTTTTGATAAAGTCTGCAGAGAATTCATCATCCAACACATGAAATGTTTGAAGATGAAGTTTCCAGAAAGATACAACTATTTTCACACCTCCTGTGCAGAACTCTTTTCCCCTGTATTAAAGCAAATCCCCTCGTATTCTTCGCAGCAGTCTCCTATTCATGTAAGTCGAGAAATCTCCATTCAGTCCAACTTTACAATATCAAAAAAATAAAGGTAAACATGTGGCCTGTGAAAGAGTAAACTTTCTGTTAACATGATCTGTTCCTTATGATTCATTGCAAGAACAACGTGAGTATTTTTACTCTGAATGGTAAAGCGTTTAAATGTGACTTTCAAAAAGGCTTATTGCAACAACAAGGAGAGCCCGTGGATTCAAACAAAAGTGACTTTTTAGACTAAAGAACACTCTGAGGATGGGTTCAAGGATTGGTTGTTACATCAGACCAAACTTCTATTTACACGTTTCAAGGAACGATTGTGGTATCGGTTCAAATCTGAATGGGAATGGGTATTAGCAATTATACAGTCTAAAATACAGTGTTATACTTTTTTTCTGGCCTCTGTGCCGATCTCATCTTCTCACAAATAAAATAATACATTCATAAAAAGCTCTTACCTTGGTTTAGACTTGCATTCATACAGAAAGCAAATGCCTAACACGTCAAAGTAGCCGCACTTAGCAAACAGAAAATCGTCCGTACTCCATCTATGAGGCTCACATCAGAAATAAAGTCAAAGTGAGTGCATGTGTCAGAAAGACTGGTTTAAGCTGGAAAGTGTGTGTGTGTGCGTGTGTGTACGTGTTTTCGGGGCGGTCTTTACACACTTATATTATCATTTTGTGCTGGAGGACCATTTGCATTGATGGCATATCTCCATGCCAGCTGGACTCGTCAACAAACACACAGCCTTTCAGCTTTCCATGGATATTTGTCTACCAAATCCAACATTCTCCTTCAGGAGGTCACACGCAGCCGCCTGACTAGCACAAGTTGTGTTTGTGCTGTAATTCAGTAAACTGGTGTGGTGGAAATTCTTGATATTAACTAGTCAAAGAGATGTCTTTCTAGTTCTTTAATCTTTTGCAAAAGAGGCAAACAACATGAAGAGCAATGTCTCCACAGCCGAGTGCAACTACTCAAACTGAAGAGAGAGCTTTTATACAGTTACAATGAATACATGCTTAGTCATGAGATAACTAACCCATGACCCTATCAGAGTACAAGAGACCCATGACCAGATCACTGATCCCCCACTGTGTGGTCACATGACACCTAGCGACTGATCACCTTCCTGAGTGCTGAGACCTACTGTCTCTCGACATGTAAGGCTTACAGAATTGTATTATTTATATGTTAAATATAACATCATAGCATTCAATTCACTGATAATCATAATTTCCATTACATTAAATGTTTCTAAATTAAAAAAGCTCTACAGCCTTACAAACACCTAAATTCCAGAATTACCTTTTTTTTAATATATATATATATAAATTGTTTTTCATTCATTTTTTTGTTGTTGTATAATGTCCTCAGTTTAATTTCAATATATAAACATGGATTGGATGTGCCTTTTTTTATATTGTTGTTGAACCTGTATTTCATTAAAGTTTATTTTTGTTAAAGCATTCAACCAAATCCATCATGGAAAGTCTGTATATTTCATTTCTTTTTTTGTAAACAAAGGCAATTTATTGGGCATATGGGCTTAAATATGTGCTTCAGTTGTGCATATGCTTTAATTGTGCTCATGTGTTTTTTCTGTGCTTATGTGCTCTTGTATGCTTCCTTTAATGCCATCAACTGGCAAGGGACTGCAGATTAAAATTAGCCTTAGCATATGTACATGTTGGGTTCAAAGTACTTATGCTAATTTACATGAATTGTCCCTTTTTAAATAAATAATTACAAAAGCCTGTATTTGAATATAGTGACATATGATGCAGAAGTAAGCAACTTTAGACCCACCAGCCTACTACTTGTTGTGAACCTATAATGGGCATCGGGTGTTGTTTCTCGGTCACTGACACAACATTTGATGTCATTTTGGAATGAGGACTTTGGTCAACTCAGAACTTGAGTTAACTCTACACAGTGTATTTAACTCTTTATCTTTAAAGACAACACTAAACATTAACCTTCTCTTGTTTAATTTTTAAATAATCTTTAATATATGTTGGCAAACTAACACAGGCTTGGTATTTGCATAGCAGCAAAAAGGATGCAATGATCCATAGACTTGAGGTTTGCCTTTATTAACTTGCCAATTCAACTGTAATGGCATATCATTTAAATATTTATGACAATCCTTCAGAAATGTTAAAAGCATGCAAGCAGGAAATGCTATTTACTTGCACTGTGACCGTGATTAATTTATAATAAAATCATAGCTACCTGCTTTATAATTTTTCTAGAAAGTTGTTATGACATTATCAACTGCAACTATGTTTGATTGTTTGGATTAAATAAAAAAATGTAAGTCAACTCGACATGAACCCCATGTGAAGGCGGCTAGGAGTTAGCACAAATGTAGCTACCGCTAACCCCAGCTCAGCTGCTCCGAATTCTGTTGGACTTCACCGGGTCTGATGTTTCACAGGTTCCCACCAGTCCGGGTGGCCTCCTGTTGCTAGGGTTTCCTCCGAAAAGCCCCCCAAAACTCGCAAACTACGGCTTTCAGAGTATCTGCAGTGAAGTTTGGCCCAAATTAAGCATACTTATGCCGTACTTATAGTTATCTAGATGGATCAATTCAGGGCCGAATTCACCATATACATTAGGGGGGGACACATCCCCCCCAATATTCAGATACGCTCAAAATGTCCCCCCCAATATATAGCCTAAAAATTAAAATTAAATTGCTATTCTATAACTTTTTTTATTTTGGCTATTTGTATACTTGAAAATCTTTATTTTCTTCACCAAAATGATATATTCTTTTCATATGTAAATTGGGTCCGCCTTTCTCTGTTTATGCATACCTTTATTTTGAACCCGGGGGGTGTATTTCGCTGTCGCACGTCCGAGTCCAGCTTCAGTTAGCGTTGATGCTCCAAGCACGTCAGTCATGTTTTAATTTTCCCTCCATCAGTTCTGGTATCTTTTTCTAGTTAGCCCTAAACTATATTATTTTATTTCGTAATGGTAATGTTAATGAACCCTCCGGTTTAGCTTCTTTGTGTAAATAACTTGTATTTCTGATGTTAAAACCGAACTTTTCAGGAATAGTAGTAAAGGGGAGTGATTTGTAAAATATGTATAAAGAAAAGGTAAATCTGTTCAGTTCTGTTTCATATGGATGTTGAGAGATGTATCCATAGATTTAGTCCCTAATGTTGCTCTCAAAGTGCACCAGATTGATGCATTTAACTTCAATATTTAAAAAAAAATCTTCCCGGGGGAGCATGCCCCCGGACCCCCCCTAGAGGAGGTTAGGTCCACCACCTGCCCACACCCCCCGTCAAATTGTCCCACCCACATTGAGGATGCTTCCTACGCCCATGCCTGAGACACAGTTTCGTGAATATTGTTGTTTTTTGCCCCCATGGGCGGGGGCATGGGGTTTAACAGGTTTTAAAGTATCCCATGTGTTAGTGAATTTTTATATATTTCTCTTTAGAATGGCAGGAAATTAGTATTCAAATTTGTATTTAATTTTTGGTCCCCCCCAATGTAGACTCCATGGTTACGGCCTTGGATCAATTGATAAATATACTTTATTTATTTAAAACGTAGAAGGTTTTGTAATACAGCAGCAGGTTATTCAGGCATTGCAATGGAGTAAAAAACACCGTAAATATACACTTCAACACAATGAAAGATATTTTTTATGTAGATAATACATTAAGAATAGCTTAGAAAAACATAACTACAGTACCTATACACCTGACTACTTGAACTAAAATGTAAACGGAAAATAACATACTAGATAACGTTTTTTTAAAGTAACTGATAAATACAGATAAAAACTGTAAATGTAGATCGTAAGAAGGATGCTAATTTAGCTTAGCACAAATGCTGTTACCAGGTAGCTGCTAGCCTGGTTCTGAACTTCTGTCTGAAAGCATAAAAGCCTTACACCACTTATTTGTACAAAACGTAGCATCATACCTAATAGTAACCCACTCACATACACAATATCATTAAGAGGATATATGTCGATGTGGAGAACCAGCATGTAAGTGTAGGAAAACTATTAAAATAGCTTTATGTCAGCCAACATGTTGTGGACATATTAGTGAGGCTGAAAGTTCCACAGTGTACCAGGTTTGGAAGCAGTACAATATGAGGCTATGCAAATCACTCAACAGAGGACAAACAAGACAGAAATAACCACAGGCTGAGTAGGACAGCTTCAGTAATTTGCTTAAAAGAATAGAAAGATACTTATTTATATAAGGAGTATGTCTTTGAGAATCAAGTTCCTACACACTTTTTTTGACGTCTTATATTGCACTAGGACATCCAGTGTGCAAATGCTCAGATACTGCAAAAACCAGTTAAAGTAAACCAAACTGGACAGTGTTCTGTGTTGAATGGCCTGTGTGAACCCTAAAAACTAACCGAAAGAGGATTGAGGCCCGATCAGAGCTGAAGTTTACATGCATATCGAGACTCCATATTAAAAAAAAAGCTCTTAATATGTTATCTTGGTAATTCCTGGCACTCTCTAGACCTGTTTGGAATTACATTTGACTGATAGTCCTGTCCGAGTCCATTAGTCATTGTGATGCCACACCTTGAATAAACAAGTTCACTGATCTGTGTACGACAGACTTGCATAGTCTAACTGATTTAAATGGCAAAGTAAACCAAGACCTATTTTGCATCTAATTTGTGGACATTTTGTTGTTTGAAAAAGGATGTGATGAAAACTTTCAAATGTCAAAACAAAGCATTTTGTGTAATCTTTTTACGTAATAAGCCCAACACAAACACACATATATACACACACACAATAAAGTGCAACTCTGTTCACCTTTACAAGATCTCCAAATTAAAATGTATCCTATCCATGGGCAAAGTATATCTGATGATATTCCTTCCGTGTGCCTCTATGAGCTATTTTAACACAATCTTTTAATGTATTAGTTATGCTCACAGTTGTGATGACCTGTCTACGTGACGTGTGTGTTAATCAAAATTAAACAAACAAAAGAGGCAAAACTCGGTAAACTGTTCCGGACAAAAAAACAAACATATGAACTCCCCTTTGGGTCTGATTAACACTTCATGAAGACAACAAAGTCAGAACATAGTCACATAAAACCATGATGCAAGGGGAATCGTTCCATAGAGGCTTAATAATACTTTTACACCTAAGAAAACTTCTGGCTTGATATTCAGTGAATAAACACCATAGAAAACTTCTTGTTTGTTTCTTGTACTTCATTAAAGTGTGTGTGTGTGTGTGTGTGTGTGTGTGTGTGTGTGTGTGTGTGTGTGTGTGTGTGTGTGTGTGTGTGTGTGTGTGTGTGTGTGTGTGTGTGTGTGTGTGTGTGTGTGTGTGTGTGTGTGTGTGTGTGTTTCTCGGTGGCTCAGGGACCTACAAAAACATCATACATTCACACCTTTAATTGAAGGCTGTTGCTTCCTATCTCTGTAGACACAATTATGAAGACACTTCTTTAAGCATTTGGATCAACATACAACATACACTTTTGTATAAACACTTTAATACAGATTAAATAAAAACAAACTTTTTAAGATGGAATTTATTACCAAATGACCTTTGAAGTTTCGGCCCTT